GTTGCAACATGGAACACCTCCCGTGACATAACAGATCCTGGGTTAAAGACAGAAGCAGCTTTGTCCTGAGTACTATTACTGGTGTGGACAGACCTGAATATGAGCAGATGCACTGCTGCTGCATGCAGTGTTGTACCACTGTGCCATTAATAATTTTCAATTCAAAAAGCACATCCCATTTAATTTGCTCATAAAGAAAAAAAATGATCTTTGGATCTGCAGACTTTGTAGTTTAACATCTGTGGTGTTAGAAAGTCCTATTAGATAATCGTAAGATGTGCATTAAGCCACATATGCTGACCTTGGCTGCTCAGATCTCAGTCATTCAACCCTTCCAGTTATTATGAAAGGGGCCAGGTCCTCTGATGTCAACTAATTAAGATTAAAAATGAAAATGTTCCAAATCTGAAACCTCAAAACATATTTAGTGCATCAGCAGAGAGATTAAAACGCTCTGGAAGCGGGGAGGGGAGAAGCAAATGAAGGGCCCAATTCATTTGAATACCATTGATTTTGACACTGAGATGTTGGAGGCCATGCCAATATTTCAAACCACATCAATCCCTGTGGTCACTTCTCTGGATTGGCACTGGAAGAGACTTGGAAGGAGTGCCCCTCTGGACTACCAAGTGACCTTACCCTGTGCTTTTGTGTTCTGCCCTGAATAATACTGACAAAAACCTTATCTCCACCCAGACCAAACCCAGCTATTTTACTAGGCTGAATTGTAAAGATACTGCCTCTTCCTACAATCTTACTTGAGTCATATCCACGTAGTTGCAATTACCTATAGGAAGTTAAGAATGCATTTTTAGGTTCTCTGATGCACTATATAACAGCAAAGCAAGCGTCAGGCTTCCAGGAAATGTGCTGCAGGGTATGTCTAAGATGAACACATTAGGGATGGGCGAAACTTCCCCAGTTTCCTAAGGAGAGATTATTTTTGTGGTTGATCTATGTGGTTTTACATTGTCCCAGAGCTCTCAGGCCTATTTGCCATACATACTCAGCTGCATTTAAATGATGTAGAAGTCCCAAGTGTGAGCCTAAGAGGGTTTTTTACTGGAACTCTGATAGCTACATGGAGGGTAAACCCCCCAGTTTAATGACCCCCATGAGAAAACAGGCAGAATACAGCATGTTCTATAACCTGGTCTGCTGGCCAGTCTGTGCACAGTAACTGCAGCGTGTGCTGTCTGTGCCCAGTGGGCATTTCAGAGGAACATGCAGCTATTACATGGTGGGAAGCAGAGCTTAGGAGACAACTCAAATCTGTAGGAATCCCGTATTCGCTGGCTTTGCTGCTCATGGGGCAGTTTGAGAGGATTTATCTTCCATATATCTTTGAGGAATGCTTCTTGGCTTCTGTGATAAATTGCTACAGGATAAATGTATGAGAATATTAATAACGAAAGCATCTTTTTCTTCTATGCTGCAACCCATGAAAAGATCAGACTCTTGATCACTACCTGTCTCCTGTGAAACTGGTAGCAGAGCTCCTTTCATTCCAAACCCACTGTGCCTGACTTACCTGTGGCTGCACAGGAAAAACAACAGGGAGGGGTTAAATACAAACAAGCCTCACCACTGTTAACAGCAGCATGAGGGTAACTGACTTCCCTGTTGTCCTTCCTTAAAGGAAAAGAAGGACTCACTCAAAACTGGAGCTAGATGACTGTATCCTGGCTGGAGTTTACGGAGAGTTGCTGGAAGCAGCAAATACGTTACTTGTCAGACCAAGCAGGCAGTTGGGGGGTCATGGTGGACAACAAGTTGTCCATGAGCCAGCAATGTGCCCTTGTGGCCAAGAAGGCCAGTGGTATCCTGGGCTGCATTAGGAAGAGCACTGCAGGTCAAAGACAGAGATCCTCCCTCCCTACTCAGCCCTCACCTGGTGTACTGTGTCCAGTTCTGGACTCCCCAGTAAAAGGGAGATAGGGAGCTCCTGATGCAAAGTGAACACTGGCTTTTAAGGCTTCACAGTGGAAAATGCCACTCCAGATGGTTGCCTTTGAACTGTCTTGTTTTCAACGTCTGTTTTTGTTATTGTCACTGGGAAACACACACACCGGGATCCCCACTAAGGCAATGGGTGTTACAGTGGTAGAGCTCCAAAATTCACATCTTTCCTGTTGAAAAGCAGGCAGCCACTTTCTTCTCATTTGAGCTTAGGGACACCAGGAGCTCTGTACCATATGGTACCAGAATGTTTGTCTTCTGCCAAAAATTGCTGTCTCCCTATCCTCTTGCTCCAACCATGTGGCCTTTTTCCCTTAACAGTCAATGACACCAGATGTAACTGATATTCTTGGCACAGGAATTTATTCATCTCCTTGAAGCAAAGGACTGTTATGAGGTTTCTGCATGGTTCTACAGGGAGCTGTAGTATGTCATGTACTCACACTGTCAAGAGTTCCAACAGTGACAGGTGCCTCCTGTTAAAGCAGCGCTACGACTGTTTATGGCTCTTGCTCCATGGAAAATACTGTCCCTAACCCATCTATCTAATGCGCTTGTAACCTTTAACATGGCAAAATCTGACTGTGTGTTATGGCAGTGTCACTTGAGATCAACAGAGAATGTAAACTGATTTCTTTGGTGTCTGCTACAAAAAAAATACCTGAAGCAGGTATTCTACTTTTAATGGATAACTAAAGTTTTCTCCATTTGCTGCTAAAGAAGTAAAACGTAGGACTAAACTCGGGCTTAGAATAGGAATGGGTTGGCACTGCATTTCTGCTGGCAGTTGGTTTTAAAGCTGTGTGGAGAGTGTCCTCATGGAGGTGTCCTCCCTGGGGATTACCTTTTTCCCCCTTTATGATGAGTTGGGGGGGAGGGTACCTTTGTTCTTAGTGTCACGTATAACACGTTTATGGTGGGCCAGTTTCGCTGGTCTTGCAGACAGCTCTTCCACTGCACTGGTCTGCAGCAATTCTTCAGATAATGGGCAGCAGTTCCTCACACCAGTCCTTGACATAATGGATGGAAGAGTCTGATCTCAGCTCCTCCCACCCATCTCAGAGACGATGGATGGTGGAATCCCACCTCGGCTTCTCATTCCAATCTTTGAGACAATGGATTGGTGGAGCCTGATTTCGGTTCAGTCTCACAGTATTAAGTTTTGGGGAATTTTTAGTGAAATTTAATGTTAAAAAAACCCAACCAAAAACAAAAACAAAAAACCAAGCACAATAAAATATTAGAAGCAATAATTGAAAACTGTTTGGTAGCTTGCAAAGACCTAAAGTCAGCACAGGTCTTTTCAAGACTGGAAATCTAGAAGTTGCTCCTGACCTAGAGATCAGAGTTGAAAATACAATACCTGACAAAAAGGGCCCCATTTCAAACCTGAGATGTATTTCTGGACTCTGGGTTCTTTGCTATGGCCAGCATGAAAATCAGACAGAAAGGAAACAGCACCTATTGAAATATTTAATGACTGCTTTTAGAAAAGCATTTTTCTCAGACGTAGCTCTTAAAGGGAGGTATGCTCAGCAGTAAAATGCCTGCTCCTGCTGTTTTGGAGCATGACATTTTGACATTTCCCTCGTTCAAAGCAGCATTTCTAAAGAAATTCTCAGGACAGTCCCAGCACAAAACACAGTTTTGAAATATAAAGTCTCCCATTGATAACCTTCTGTTCATTTGAAAGGACAGAAGCTGGAAACAGAGGTATATGAAACCAGCAATGAAACTTGCAGCCTGAATAATACATACAGTACCTATTGCCATCATTTATTTATTATGCTAATGGCATATATGAGGATTTTCTTTTAAATTTAATTAAAACCAGTGCTAAAAATGAACCATTTAGAACACCATGTTACTGATCAACAAGAAAGCTAAGATCTCTTTATGCTGTATAATTCATTTGCTCATGCGATGAGGAGACCTTACCTACAGATAGAAAGCTATAGGATTTTGGTAGTGGGTAACAGGAGCTCTTGTGCCTCCTGATGACGACAGTGAAGGGTTAGATTTTGGCAGACTAATGTAGGAATACTTCATGAACACTCGGTAACAGCATGACACCTACCGCCCTGCCCAGACCTTTCTCTAAGCCTGGAATGAAATGGGGGAATGATTAATGAGACCATAAAGTGGAGATGGATGCACAGTGAGAATCCTATTGTGGGATTCAACAAACACAACTGTTCCCTTTCACACCTGATTTGGACCTTATAAAATCTGTTACCATTCTTTGCTGAGGAATAGGCACAGCCACTTCCACATGGAAAGAGATTGGATTGAGCCCGGAACTGCTCTCTGTGACCCCAGAATTACCCTAAATGATGCTATACATGGTTAGCATATATACATACACATATATTGTATACATGTATACAATACACCACATGGTTCTTAAAACGTCTGTGATGTTACTCAGCATGTTGTGGTGGTGTTTAGTGTCATTTAATGTAACCATAGTAATTCCTGGTTCAACTTTCGGGTATGGAGCCATGCATTCATGTTTTCAAGTTTACATTACAGGATTTGGTTTCTTTTCAGCAGGTGCTTGTGTATGGTGTAACATGGGTGTTCATAGATGGCTCAACAGCAAAGCTGCCATGACTTAATGTATATAATTCCTTGAAGAATCATGAGGAATTTTCCTCATTGGTTTTAAACTGCAGTTTTCCAGACCAAATTTCGATTATTGTAAATACCTTGAGGATTTTTCGGAACACTTCTCAATATTAAAGACCTCTCCGTTGGGATCTCCCGTTATCACAGAATGCTTTGGGTTGGAAGGGACCTGAGAGCTCAGCCGGTTCCAACCCCTTACATGGGCACGGCCGCTTCCCACCACCCCGCGCTGCTCTCGCCGCCGGCGCCCCATCAGGACCGCGGGCAGCACGCGCCGCCCCGCCTCTCGCGATACCTGCCTGCCGCCGCCAACCGCTGCCTGTAACGGCCGCAACCCGGCGGTCGCTTGTTTACACCGGCGTAGCCAATAGGAAGGCGGTTGGAGTGGGCGGGGCGGTGCAGCCTGGCCAATGGGAGGGAGGGGCGGTGCGTTTAAACAGCGCGGGCCCGGTGGTGGGGATCCCCGCAGCTTGAGGTGCTTCCATCGCCATGCCCGGCCGGCCCGACGACTATGAGGTGCTGCTCACCATCGGCGCCGGCTCCTACGGCAAGTGTCGCAAGGTGCGCCGTAAGGCCGATGGCAAGGTGAGGCGGGGGTCTGCGGGAAGGTGCTGGGAGAAGCTGTTGCCCCTGCGGAGCTCTGGCTTGCGTGCAAGGCATTCCCTAAGGGTCGTTTTCCCCTCCGTAGATCTTGGTGTGGAAGGAGCTTGACTATGGCACAATGTCGGAGGCAGAGAAGCAAATGCTTGTTTCGGAGGTCAACTTGCTCCGCGAACTGCGGCATCCTAATATCGTCCGGTATTACGACCGGATCATCGACAAAAGCAGCACGACGCTGTACATCGTGATGGAGTACTGCGATGGCGGTGACCTGGCCAGCTTGATTGCAAAGTGCACGAAAGAGAGGTGTGTGGAATCCGCGTGTGGCAGTTCCGCGGTGTCTAACTTGAAATACCACCTGCAAGTAACAGGACAAGGGGTGATGGGAAAGTGAAACAGGGCAAGTTCAGGTTAGATCTAAGGCAGAAGCTCTTCCCTGTGAGGGTGCTGAGGCGCTGGCACAGGGTGCCCAGAGAAGCTGTGGCTGCCCCATCCCTGGCAGTGCTCAAGGCCAGGTTGGACACGGGCTTGGAGCAAGCTGCTCTAGTGTGAGGCCCTGTGGCAGGGGGTTGGAACTGGGTGAGCTTTAAGGTCTTTTCCAACCCAAACCAGTCTGTGATTATATGAAATATCCCAGACAATCTAAAGGAAAGTGAAATGCGCCCACTGCTAACTTTGGAAAGGTTTAATCCTTTGGACCTAATAGCTCTGAAGTGTGAAAGGTTTTGTCCAAGATTATAACACTGGTGGAATTGTGCTCAGGAATGCACGAACTAATCAGATGTTTATGCTGAAGTAGTAAAAGCCTGAGCTCTCCTATGCGGCAGAACCTGTTGAAGGGTTTCTGGCTGCAATGCTAGTGTGCACGTGGCTGAGAACAGAAACCAGCAAGTCATAGCTCTTGCAGATAAGCAGGTTGGTCTGTTTGCTCTTCTGACTTGTCCATCAATTAAACTACTTGTACCCTGTTTTTTGTTAGAACACCAGGATACATGAAAGGGAAGAGTGTTAAAGACTACTTTATGTGCCTGCATGTAAGCCTTGTGAAGACACCAAGTTGATAAGACTTCACCTTGGTCTGATTTAGAGTTAGCAGCCTAGTTGTTAAGTATAATATCAGTTTTAACATTAGTAAGTTAAACAAGTACATAGCACCACATGTCGCTTTGTGAGAATAGTCTAAAATGATACAGCAGCTGCCCCCAAACATCAGTGTTTTCATTTGAGGAAGGTTATATTAACAATCAGTCCTGTCCTGGCTCTGTTGTTCTATGTTGCTCATTATAAACAGCTGGCAATACACTGTTATCATAAGTGATCAAAGGGACAGATCTCATCACAAAAGTGTCAAGTTGGTATTAGTGCTGTAAGCAGTGGAAACACTATGTCTTTGTTGAGCTTTTTTGAGGGGAGGAAGCAAGTATCACAGGGGCTCTGCAATAGAAGTCCAGATGTCTTCCAGTGTATTTGGAGTGATTTTTAATTTCCATTTTTAAAATAGCTTATCTAGGTGCCTGTTGCTGTCAGTTTTCTGTGAAAGTGCTGGGGTGATTCAGTGATGTTTTGTAACGGTAGTATTAAAATGTTGCTGCCACACTAAGACCGGCAGGAATTACTTAAAAGTGATGTATGCTCATAGAATACCTTTGTTAAACAATGTGATCATCTTTCAGGCATTACTTGGAAGAAAGCTTTGTTCTCAGAGTACTGACTCAACTGACACTGGCCTTGAAGGAATGTCACAGGCGGAGTGATGGTGGAGTCACCGTGCATCGCGACCTAAAACCAGCAAACGTCTTTCTAGATGGCAAGCAGAATGTGAAACTTGGAGATTTTGGACTGGCAAGAATATTGCACCATGACACCAGCTTTGCCAAAACATTTGTTGGCACTCCATATTACATGTCTCCAGTAAGACCACCTTTCTGTGCCTCATCTCCCCTTTTGTGCCTCCAAGATCTGTTTTCTGCAGTGTTTGTCTCAGTTCATGAATGCTTAGGAGGTTTTGATAGAGTTACTAGTTGCTCTTCACTGTGTAAGTTTTGATGTGTTCTTGCAATGTTAGAGATGTTGGCGTATATTGTTTCTGGAAAGGAACAGGGAAGCTTGAATGCTTTGGTTTCATAGTGTTAAAGTAAAAAGCTTATTAAACTACCTCTTGATTATAGGATTTTAATTTGTGGAAATGAACAAGGAGTATTTCCCTGATACAATGCATTTTGTGTGGGAAAGATTAATATTGACTGAAATATGGGGTTGTATCAGCTAAAGATTGGTGCAACACTTCAGTCTTCTACAGTATAGCACTGCTACAACTTGTTAAAATCCTGCTACTAGTAGTAGCTGTGGAGATTAAGGTGGAATCTTAAAAGTAACCCCAGTAAATAATGGTTTAATTCAGGTTTGAAGAGTAGCTGGTTATCCTGCAATAGTAGAACAATGTCTTAGTTAATAACCCCAAAATTGTTCTCTTTCTTTAGGAACAAATGAACTACATGTCATACAACGAAAAATCTGACATCTGGTCTCTAGGATGTCTCCTGTATGAATTATGTGCTCTCTCGTAAGTATAGTAGCGTGGTAATGAATGTAGAGGCATGGCTGTTAACACAGGTCTAATTAAAATCTGTAGAGATAAAAGCATAAAAGCTTCAGAAACTAGTTCTAGATTTGTGTTTCTATATTGGTCTTGACATTAGGTAGTCAAAACAAGCCTTTGATTGCAGGTTTTTTTTCTTAGTCTGATTCTTTTATTTAAATGAAAATGAGTCACTAAAATTAGTGAAAGAAACCAAGGAAAATGTTCTTTTTCAGGCCTCCATTTAGAGCTTGCAGCCAAAAGGAGTTGGCAGAAAAAATAAAGGAAGGGAAATTCAGGCGAATACCATATCGTTACTCAGAGCAGCTGAATGAGCTTCTCAAGGAGATGCTGAATGTAAAGGTAAGAATCAGTTGCTCGGTTTTCCACCTAGAACTTGAACTGGTGTACTGAAATACTTGTTTTCTTTCTCAATTACAAAAGAAACTGACATGAAGTGCTGGTTGCTATCACCTTGTCACTGGCAACATCACTTGTAGGGGAAGGAGGAATTGTGCTTTGAGTCTATTAAAGGTAGCAGCTCAAGTATGTTCCGGATGCTGAAAGGCTATCTCAATATTGTCTTATACGGAATTTCCTGACAGCATACATAAGGCCTTGTGTCTTTAGGGTTAGAAAGGTTCCAGTGTGTTTGGAAGTGGGAGGAGTTAGTTTGCCTTCATTTTGGGGTTGGCTTTATATGGCTACCATATAGCTCGTGCCCCTTGGCTAGCATGGGGGTGTTGAGAAGAACACTGCATATTACAACAAAGCTGTAACAAGAACCCAAGTCTCACAACAGGTATGGATTCTTCAGGAATCAATTGACAAATACAGATGCAGAGTGCTTGCTACAGAACTTACTAACAGTTGCCCCTGTAGGCTCACCACCCCATTCTGTCCTTGAAAGGAGTGAGAGCCTTGGCTAGGAGAGCCAGACTTACAGCCTCTGGAGCTGAGGGCTTGGTAATAGCCTCCTCCCTTAGCTTTTGTCATCTGGTTGTGCTACCCCTTCCTAATTCCATTTTTCTCCAACTTCTCCTTCAATGCATAGCACCTCAGCTGGTTCCCATCTGTAGTGGGTCTTGCTTGGGAATCCCTGGCCCTAATATTTCTTGGTTACAGATGGAACCTGTTGGTAATGTCTTCCCTTTAGGATTATTGCAGACCTTCTGTTGAAGATATTCTGCAGCACCCTTTGATAGCAGACTTGGTGACAGAAGAACAAAGGCAAAACCCAGATAAACGAGGCTGGAGATCATGGGAGCCAGAAAGGCTGCAATATTCAGATGCTGCAGTGAATGAGCTGAAACGGAAGGAACAGCAACTACAGGACCGAGAACAAGCCATTAAGGACAGAGAGCAACATCTGGAGCGTATGACATTTCACTTTGGGAAGGGGGGAGTTGGCAGTGGGGTTCTTATTCAAAAGAGTGAGTGTGGAGGAAGGAAGGCTAGATGGCTTTAAAACCCCTCATTTTAATGCACTAGGATATTGTAGTCTGATATTCACTACTAGTTTCTGTTTGAAGACTAAAGCAAGAATGCCAGGGTTTATCTAGACTAGTTCTTGTTTCAAGTTACTCTAATTGGCACTTTGGATACAGAAGTCTGGCTTGGGAAGATTAAACATGAGTGGCAATTAGGAAATTTATACAAGAAAAAAGGGTCTAGGTATATTCTGCACTGTGCTTTTCCCCCCCACTGTGTAAGTTAACATTGTCTGTACTTGCACACAACCTAAGGTCATCCTGATGTTGGAGCAAAACATATTGGAGTAAGCAAACTGCTTTTATAAAAGCTGCACCCTACAGGTAGCTTACCTGTGAAACTATAGATAGGTGGTCCTCAGGCACTGGAATTTCCTGCCCACATGAAATACCTCTTTGTGCGTGCAGTAGACTCTGTAATACAGAGTTTAACAGTATAAATTGTTTTCTAAGCCTGATTAACAGCTGCTGCTGCTGTAAATGGGATGTTTAGTCATAATTGAATCATAGTATCTGGTATCTAAATATTTAGATCTGCTGTTGTGTGCCATGAGTTAATGTGCAGAACAAAAAGATGCTGTAGTTTCGTTATTGCAGATATGGCTGAGTTTTGAGGGAAGGGGAAAAAAGACCTGCTGGCTTTTTGGAGTACTTGCTTGGTGCTTTATCAGTGCATGGATAAAGGTGTATCTGCACAGCAGCTACCTTTGTTTAGAGCCATAAATGCAGGAAATACAGCCTGTCAAATGCACCCATAACTACTGTCTTTTCCTGGAACAAAGTCCATCATGCACAATCACTCTTAACTTTAACATTTACATGTTAACACTGCATACTCCTGTATTTCTGCTTCCAGAAAGAGAACGGGAACTCTGTGTTCGTGAGAGACTGGCAGAGGACAAACTTGCCAGGTATCTTACTAACCTAGAACTGCCTATAGCAGAAACTCTACTATCTTAGGATGGAAAACTTAAACTTCTCTTTTGAAAACAGAGCTGAAAACCTGATGAGGAGCTACAAACTCTATAAAGAGCAGATGACAGCTTGTGCAGATGGTCCAGGTATGGAAATACACAAGAAGCCACTGGCACTGATAAATATAGGCTGGAATGATGAGAAGAATACCTCCGATGCCCAATATGCTGTACTTAGTCCCATTGTAGCAATACAAACCCCAGTATCTCTGTGTTGTTTGGAAGAGACTTTTGATTTTGTACTTTGCAAAAAGACTTAGTGGATGATGCTCAACCATGAGTCTGAGCTACCACTGTCAGCACTGCAGTCTTGTGCTGTTTTGAAAACTAGGTTCTTACTGTAAGCTAATGGGAGTGCTGACTTGTAACCCAACTTTCACTCAGAGTTGCAATTATTTTATTTATGGATGTCTTTTTACAGACTTTTGATAAAGTTAATTTTAATAAAATTTCACATTTTTAATCTCTTCAGCTTCCAAAAATTGTGGTGGGAAATAATATTTGTTGCAAGTGACCCGGTTGTGATTGGTGCATCAGACGAGATCTAAAGATCTTTGCATCTAAAGAATACTAACTATTATGAGCATACTCCAGTTTTTAACACACTGAAGGGGGGCTTTAAAGATGTGCTGTAGTACTTCCTGACTACCTGTAGTCTAATCTCAGAGTATTTGTTATGCCATCAGTATCTGGCATCCACTTTGGCCTTAGTTGTTCAGTCCTCACTATCATAAGATATAGTATCATCTCTTCATTGCACCCATTTTGTAATAGTAAAAATAATTCAAGTATCTCAATGCATTTTGAAATAGTGGTTAGAATATTAAATGACTGGATCCTAAGTAGTGCTCTAGAGCAAAGAAACATGACCACTCTTTAACATGCAGCAATAACCTCTTCATTTAGTTTTGGTTAGATAAAGCAAGATAAGCATCTCACAGCCTCAAATACAAATAAAACTGAAGTTCAAGTGCTTATCACAGCATGCAAGAATACAAGCTAAATGCCACCAGACATTAGGGGTACTTGAGCTATTTCTAACATCCCTGTCAGTTTTGAGCATTATACCTTTCAACATATTGTCTCACTTTGATACATGAAGGAATATAAAAACCAAACTTGCCTTGGGCTTTTCTGATGTTGCCTCTAATGTTGGATGACTGAAGTTCAATAAGCTTCAGCATTTTCTTCAGTTCTCTTCTACATCTCCCACCCCTTTACAAGGTATTTTGACCTTAACAGGGCTATTAATTTTTGAACCACTTCAAGCAGTTACTACCTTGAGCTGGGTAATGTGGAAAAGTGAATATGTTTATTAAAAGACTTACCAAATCTTGCAATACCTGTAAATCACTTGATTAAATGCTTGTCACAGTGTTTGCTGCTCTTCATTCCACAGCACTCTTGTAATACTTTTCTAAAAGTCTCCCTGTTCTGATGTGAATTTTCTCCAGTACACTACCAACATCACTTACTTCTGTTATCTTCAGTTGTTCAAATAGTACTGTGTTTTTTGAACATATCACACATCTTAGACCCTTAATTTCTCCTCAAAGTCTGTGTATGGTTCATTTCACAGTAAAATGGCAAACCAAAAATCCTGGTTTCTAAGACAGGCTCCTAGACACTACCCTATTTTTGCAGGGATTTTCTGATTCTTAGGGAAGGCTTCAATGTTAAAACATATACAGTTTACTGGTATGAAACTACAAAGTGCTGAAATGTTCACTAGCCTCTTTAGTTTGGCTCTTCTCACTTGCTTATTGCATCTTTCTTCCGGCCTAATGAATTGAAAATTAAGGCTTCAGCGGTGTTAATATTAGGATAGTTTAGACCTTTGATTAAAAATAAAAGTAAACCCCCACACCTTAAGCTGAGCTTTGTGAACTTGGCTTTTATGAGAAGCAACTCAGCTGTTTTAATAGCTTTTGATGGTAGGTTTTGTACCCTGGGTCATTAAAAACAAATCAAGCTAACTGCCTTTTCACTGTGGCCATTCTGTACAGCTAAAGCAGAGCTATAACATGAAAATTCCTGTGCTGGAGGCTGCCGTGAAAGTAACTTGATTGTTTAAAATGCACTAAAACCCACTGTTCATCAAGTCAGAGCCTAGTTTGTACCCCATTGACTTAATACAAGGATAGAGCTAGAATAATGTGGGTAATGTAGGAAGGGCAGGCTGGGTCTGCCCCTGCTATGAAGGAAAGACAGTGTTTTGTAGCTGGGACCCCCATTCTCTATTTCCCTTTGGAACTGCATTGTGTTACTGCTGGAAAGGAAAAATGGAGAAGATTTGTTGCTATGAAATGCATTGAATTAGATCACGTAAAGCCATAGGTAGATAGCAAAATGGGTAACAGGCTTAAAAAATATGAGCTAAGCAACAAATGCTGAAAGATGCACTAATTCAGTCTTTATTGTTTGACTTCCAAGATAACGCACTGCTGCTGCCCTTCCCTACAACCAAGAAGAAAGTACACTTTGGAAGTGAGGAGAATGCTGGGAGTTCTGTTAATCTGGAAAACCATCCCCGTTCTAAAGGGAAATGCTCTGATCTCAGAAAACGTCTGTATGCTGCCAACCTGCGGGCTCAAGCACTGGCTGAACTGGAAAAGAACTATCAACTGAAGAGCAGACAAATCTTGGGCATGCGCTGAAATGATAACACAGGTGTAAAATATTTAACTTTTGGAAGTTGATTAAATGTGTGAAAAAAGGAAGCTACTTGTGCCTTCCTCTTTTAAGCTGGAGCCTACTGAAGGTTTATTTTAACAGCTGTCGTACAAGCTCTTAGTCTACAATAGGTAGCTCATGATCAAAGCATAAGAGATTAGGAATTGTATTAAGAAAAAATATTTTGTCTTCCTGTTTACCATATATTATTCTTCTGAAAAAAGAAACAAATATTGTAAATCAGATGTTTTTAAACTGATGTGAAAGCTTTTTAGATGACAAATGTACAGAGATTTACAATCTGTAGGTTAAAATGATGCTGTATGTAATGTACAGTACTTGGTAAGTATATTTTGTATATGTAGAAAATCCGTGGCTTTTTGTCTGCACTTTTTTTTTACCTATCAAAAGAGCAAAAGGAGATTTTGTGTTCTCTCTTCCTGCTAAGTGGGGGACCTATCAAAGCAGGCTACTTGTAGTTTAATGCTGACTAATAAGTGGTATGGGTCAGCTTAGTGTTATTGAGGAGTTTATACTCCTTTCTTGCGTCACTAAGCAATAGTTCTGCTTTATTAGATTCTTAACTGTCCAGCAGAGCTTATCATAATTGCTTGCCTCGTGGTTACTCTTTTCACCACAACCTTTGCTTGAAAGTTAGAATATGACCATTTTGATTGCTAGTGTGAAACTACCGCTGTTCTAGTGGCCATGACCCTAGTGCTCAAGTGTGGTGGAAGTGTTTGGCGTGTATGCAGAGCCAAAGCAGCTCAGATGTATTTGGAGGGTGAATCCCTGCTTTCTCACCATGTTTGTACGCTCAGATCTTCTAGGCCTCAACCAGAAAATCTGCACTGCAGTTCTACTGGCCTTCATGGGGATCTGTTTTGTACAGCCCATGGGATATCCAAAGCTACAGTGTGCAGTGGGCTTAGTCTGATCTGCCAAAAATATGTAGAATACAAGAATTAACTGTGGGCTTTGTCATCCTCAAAATGCAGGTACCAGTGAGTGAAAGGAGGAAACCAAGCAACCAAGAACATAAATCACTAATGAATGGCTCAGGAAAGGCAGTGTTGCGTCACGGCTGGTGTTTGCAAATGCTTTGCTTTTAACGAGGCCAAGTTAAGAAAATGGCTTGAGAGGTTTGGGCTTTTTCCTCTTGGAATATACAGTAATTTGTTCATTTAAAAGTAAAACACCTTAGAGCAATCCTGCAACTTTCCTCTTTAATTCTCTGGTGACCTCAAGATGGCACTGTTGCCCCGTAATTGTTGGGAATTTCTTTTGGTCTATGGATACATCCATCCAACGTTTAAGAACTGATTTTAATATCTTTTTACCTGCTTTGTTTCAGAAAAATCATCAGTGTGTTGCTGTAAGATGCTGATTTTCTTGGGCTACAGATGCTTTAGTACTTAATTAAGTGTAATTCTCTTCAATTTGACGTTTTCCATGTTTCATAAAAATAGTTGAATCAGAGTCCTGGTTAACAGTTACACTTCTACGAATAAGAAACTCTACAGAGAGTGCAAACTATATCAATCACAATGGCAGGAATAGATGGAACAGCTTAAGTTACAGCTGTAGCATTGAGCTATTTTAGCTGTGTTGCAATGTCTTCTTGAAGTATTATCACTCCGACATGATAAGTGCAATGTTTCTTCAGGTTTTGGAAACCAGACCTTCCTACCACTATGTGTCAAACACAGGGGAAGGCATCCTGGAGATGGTCTTTGTTCTGTCACAGCATTTTTGCTTTGGAATCCTGAAATTCATGTTTTCCTACAAAAGCATAATTGTTTTTCCCAGAGCACATTGCAGTTGCAGTCAGGATGTAATTTTACAGCTTAAGCCTTACAGAAGGTTAATAATGGTGTACAGTGTTGAATGCTGTGAGATAAATTCATTAATGTTTAATACAAATATCAGGAATTTTAATGATGTGTAGCTGTGGGTACACAAATGATAGACAGAAGTCACCTCTGAAGTTACAGAGGTTTATATGTGTAGAATGTAATTTAGCTAAAGGGTAGACTGGAGGGAAGCTGCATCATCCTTGAAAAGCATGGACCAGATCCCTGATTTTCAGCCTTCGTGTGTGGGGTTCCCATCTGTAACAGGCTCATCACAGAGCCAGCTCAGAGACAGCACTGGGGGATCTGCACAGGTCAGCACTTGGATGCAGCCAGATTGGACTTCTCCTTTGGGCAGCTGTGCATGAACTAGGGAATGGAATGTACTGGAAAAGCAATGGTGAGTTACCAAAGTCATTTATTTACTGATAAGCCTGGTCAGTATCCCCTCTGCAGCCAGGTGACCAGGCCATTCTGTGAACAGTGGGAAAGTGCTGGCCAGCTGGCAAGGTAAAATGGTTAGAGGAAATCAGACTTAAATCTAGAAGACCATGAAGCTGCTTCCTAAACATAAATATCAATAGGATGTTTAATCCATACTATATCATTGAGCAGGTGGAGAGATAAATCCCTCCGGAACAATTATAAATACCTGATCATAGGGGAATTTCCCATTTTTGCCTTTACTGTCAGTAAGTAACCCAGGAGGAAGTGATCTGATCGTAGTAATGGCACAAGCCAGTTCACAGGCACTTACTGCAGGATTCAATCTCATGCAGTTTCCTGCATATACGAGAAACAGTGCAGAGGAGAAGTTCTTGCTATTGCTCTTGTCTTCATCTGAAAGGGAGAGACTGCTCCTCACGCTGCTGGTCACCTTCACACACATGTACCTCTTGCTGTGCTTTATCAGCCCATTTCCCAGTAAGCAGTGTTTGTAGCATTCATAGTCCAAAAGACAGTGACAGCGTTTGGGCTGTGTCTTTGTCTTACTCTTCCCTTGTGTAATTTGTGTGAAGCCAGAGGAATCCTAGTAGTTAAAAAGCTGTTGTATCAGTGTAGAAGCCTGCCCTAAGAGCCTGCTTAATACATGTTTCACACTGTGGAAGACTTTGGCCTAATTAAGGCTACGCACAGTATAATCCACATCAGGTATTAGAAGCGTGTTTTATTTATATCTTTACCATAAAAGTTAGCTGAAAGTTAAATATTAATCTTTACAACTTTAAAGAGCTGCACAGGCTGATAGCGTAACACCACATACTGTTATACTGCTCTTCTGTTCAATCTTGCTTTCAGCCAGCTCGGCAGTGCCAAGAAGTTACTATGCTAGAGGCAACAGCACCTTTATCTGGCATTATTTTGGAGACAAAGCGCGCTTCTGAGGCTCAGCTGCCATGGAAGGATGAAGCTTTGTTGGGGATAAAACCCCTCTGAGTGTGTAAAATGGACTCATGCCAGAGTTTTATGCTCTAAAGGGGAAAGAAAGGCTACAGAGACACCTGAAATTAGCTCCACACAGCCTCAGTTTTCAATGTAGGCTCTTTCTGGGTAAGGAAATGTATTTCTGGAGACTTTTGGCTCGTTAACTTTCGTTTGTGACTCGTTTCATTTCTGACTGATGCAGGATGCTTGTTGCTGGGCTACCTGGTTCAAGCAGAGGTAATTTACAGCCCCACTTACACCGCATTGTTCACCAGTGTGAATTTATTCTTGGTCTCAGCGCATTGTCTACTTCCTTGGCAACTGAAATGCTGACTTGGACACGACATGCAGTGAGTAATAACTAATAATGCAGCTTCCACTGTCACCTTTCATATGTCATTTTTCAGTGGTAAAATGAATGCAACAAGCAGACAGATTTATGAGGAACGTGGCAGGTACTTAGCAGGTACTTGCGTATTTTACTAGAGTTTTGGGGTTTTTTTCCATTTTTCATCCTAACCTGAAAACCTTTTGTTTGTGAGGACAGCTGCTAAATGCTTTTGTACTGTTTAACCAGCTCTTTTAGCAGGCCCTGCTCTTGCAATGTCAGCAGGAGCTAGCATATCCACAACATAAAGTCTTGCACATGTTTGTGTCAGTCAAAGGCCCAAGGACACAACAGGAGGCCAGTGAGGCCAATGACAAGCTTTCCTTCAAATGCAGTGAACCCCTGGATGGGCTTCAGCTTCATTAGCATCAGACATACTAGACATTCGTGAATGATTGTTTGCTATTTGGGGAGGGAGAGCATTGCCAATGCCATGGCAGGAACAAGCGATCCATCTTCCTCAGCAGAAGTGAAGACAAGCCACTTCAGGTAGAGCTCTTGATCTTGGCTTCCACCAAACCAGACTTCCCTTGGCAAGAATTGAGTCAGGAGCTGTCAGACCCCCCTGGACTTGTATCTGGTATTAGGGAAGAGCAAATGCATGGGGTTTTTTTTCTGCTCATAATGCATTTCATCATCCAATTGCAAACAGCAGCAATATTATCTACCTGAACTCTCAGCTCTCCCTAGGTCAGCAAGGACCACTCCAGTGACCCCAGAGCTAGTGGCTACTTAGGTTATGCAGGAAGTTCAGAAGACCCTTCCTGACAAATGCAAGTGTTAAAGTCACTGAGTGCTAATTGCCAAGTAAAGCCTCTGCTGGCTACTACTAATCAATCTTTAGATGCCACTAGGGAAAGATAAATATGGATTTTATGGCACTTGGATGATAACATAAACAAAGCCATCAGAGCAAATGGCAGATCGTGACTGATAATGATTTCCTGGGAGGTGAAGCAAATGCCTCCTATGGCAATGATCCACGTAATTAGCTTGTACTGGATTGTAAGGATTTTGTGGTTGCAACTAAAAGCAGGAGGAAGCATCAGCATTAAAGAAAATTATATCATCAAAGAAGCAGTCAGTTGGGAAAATAGCCTAGTTTTATGAGAATTATTACAGACTTGCCTTTAGGGCACATTTTAATCTTTCTCCCAGGTAAACTGAACGCTAGGAAAACCTCCCCCAGTTGTGTTAGCTCCTAAAGGGACAAGTGTGATCAGAGAACTGCTGTGTGATGCAAAGGGATGTGTCTACCTTGAAGGCAGGCTAGGGACTCACTCTCATCAGGTGTAAGGTCATTTGTCATCAATCTTTATGTAGTCAAATTCAGCAAGGTGATGGGCACAGATGTGCAAGGTGAGCAACCAAGAACGTGTCACTGAATTCCTGTGTAAGATACAATGAGTCAAATTCCCTGCTCTACATTTCCCACTGTTTTTCAAGGCCAAATTCTGGTCTCAGTGCTTGAGGTCTCAAGGCGAAACTGGAAGCTACAGGGGTGACCTCCCCTCTGGGCAAAGCCACGTTCAGTGGAGCTCTATGTGTTATCAAGAGGGAAAAGGGCATGAAACTGTACTTTCTAGTCACTGATCATAAGTAAGGGGCTGAAATCTGAGCCCTGCATTGCCTGAGCTCAGGGAATTTCTCTGGGCAGGGCCCTGGAAACAGTATTTCAGAGGCTTAGAATGGAATTTGTGTATGAACAACCACAGCCTTCACTTTGTGCATGTTTTTAACCTCCTCCCATGTTCATTTTGCTGCTTCCCGTCCCGGCTCCATGGCAGACTCATCCTGTCACTGCTGCTAATTTGCACTTGCTGCTGGCATGGCTGTGGGTGAAAGCATACAGATGAGTATTGGCAAGGAGCAGAGAGCTGATCACAGCCTTGGACGCGTGGTCCTCTGCTTGTGCTCCAGGGAATGAGCTCAGCTGAATGGCCAAGCTCAGCCTTGGGGTTGTGCCAGACAGAAACCATAAGTTTGGTTTCCAAATCTGGCACTGCAACAAATTCTCACATGGAATCCTACAGCCTGGCTTAGACCAGCAGATGTCTAATGGTCACTTACTTTTTTAATCCTGTTTTTTACAGCTTAGATTCCACCTTCAAAGCCATTTTCTGGATGTGAAATAGCACTTGCTGGAGGTCAGTTCTAAGTTCAGCATTACTGCCATGGTTTGCAGTGTTTGCAAAGTGGCCTGTTATATCTGCATTGCCTCGACTGCAAGCAGAACTCGGTCAGAAATGGGAGTTGCTCCTAAAGGCTTGATGCAGGTCCTGGCCCTGCATTCCTTCCTAAACTGTGTCTCCATATCCTCAGCTTGGGCAAACAGCCACCTTTCTAAAAAAATCCCATCCCAGAACTCCCCAAAACATCTTTATCAAGCGGGATTGAAGGAATGCTTGGTGCTGTGGCGAAACATTTTCACACCTGTACATGCTGAATAATGCTATTTAACTCCTAACTTTGGAGTTGTTAGTGGATGTTAAAAGATAATTCTGTATGTGACTAATTAGCACTGGTACAAAGTTGGAGAGACTGTATGTTTTGTATGCATTTATCCTTGTTACTGTCTATAAGACGCTGTCAGCTTTAGCCCTAGCCCAGAGTCAGGCTGTGAACAAGTATCTTGTAGTGATCTCACAGTAAAATCACCAATAGTTCTCTTACAGAAAATCAGAAGCATCAACAAGGAAATCAGTGAATAAAATCATGTCTTTGCAATGGTAAGGACAGCTTCCAGCATATGCAAACACAGAACTATCTTCTACTCTTCTTTCTAGTAACCAAACACAGAATAATCAGCCTCTTCCCCCATTTGCAGGTTCATTGTAAGAGGATTGTGTTGGAAGAACAGTAGCTGCTCACTGCTTTAATGCCAGCAGAATTTTCCTTATCATGCTGTAAATCATGTTTGTGAATCCTGCTGTCCCATTTCAGCCTCATCAGTGATGAGCACCCCGTCTCAGCACTGCATCTCCCTAACCACATGCAAGATATTTAAGACTCCTGATTCTTTTCCTGCCTTTGGTCAATAATCAATAATAACAAATGCATGAAAAGCACATCAAACATTTGCACCCTTGATGTTATTCTAAGGAAACTCATTTCTGGGACTTGCATTACCGAGCAGTGAGGGTTTTGAAGGATGGATCTAGTAGAAACAAACCCATGCTGATATCTTGTCTTTGCGAAGCTATTGGGTCCTTCCCAACGCACCAGTGCAGACCACTAAGTAATCTGCTCCATGGCAACATCTACCCTTCTAATGGTACTACTTCAGTTAATACCAGCCTCTAACTGACTGACAGCCTTACTTCCTCCACAGGAGAGGGAGTTCACTCTGAATTAGCAGGATGAGCCTGTCTCTGTATGTACTTGGTGCTTTGCATCCTCATGGAGAATGCTCACATTAGTGTCATTCTTGGTTACTTGTTTTAGGAAGTGGTTACTTTTTCAGAAAAGAGGAAGGATAATTTTAGGTGATCCTATGCAGATTACTGAGGATTTATCAAATGATCATATTTGGTATCTTTTCCTCTTGTTTTACCGTGTCTGAGCATGGGAATGAGAGAGGCTGTTTAAACAACAGCAGTTTATTAACAGATCCTTGGGGTTTCATTGTCTGGGATGGTGGAAACATTAACCCTAATTCAGCATTGTTGAAGCACAGGATTTCCATGTAATTGCCTTTGCAAGGCAGGAGTTAAAAGTGAGCATTCTCCTTTAGTCCCCATTTCACAATCACTTCTTCCTCTGGGAGTTCAGGGGAAACAAACCTTTGTGCAAATTTTGGGCCAAATATCATAGGAAAGAGTCCATTGCCCCTTTCAGCTGTTGGGTTTGGGTCACCTCTTTGCAGGATGATACCTCTGGATTTTCTCTGCTATTGATCCTCATTAAGGTTTTATTTACCTGCTTCTGAAACTTTCCCAATACCTGGACCTGAGTGACTGTGGTTGCTCTTGCCAGCACAGTGGCAGCCAGGGGCCAGCAGTGCAGGGCTGAGGTACTGAGGGATGAGACAGCTTCCCCATGACCTGAGACCTTTCAGTCCCTGCTGGCTGGGTATCAGAAACACAGGAGGCAATTGAGGCAGGAGTCATTGATGTGAGAATCTCTGAGTCAGGGTTAAAGTTATATCAATGCCACAGCTCCTAATGATCAACCTCTGAGCAACTCAATTTGTCCTTGAGATTATCTGTAATTTTTTTTCCTTTCATCTCCCTTAGAGCACCTGTGAAGGACAGGGGATTCCCAATGGAACCCGTCCTTTTGGACAGAATCTATCCTGGTAAGAGCTCCAGGTAAATGCCTTTCTCCCACTCCTCTGCTGATGAGTCTTCCAAGTTTCAGGCCTCTGTGCCATCAGCAGGATGATGGTGTGAGTGCTTAGCAGCTCTGGGACACATCTGCCATATGTCAGGCACTGAGGAACTAAGAGGAAAGTTGCTGATGTACATAAAGCTTTGCGCTTTGATTGTGAGTGCAGGAGCAATCCAGCCCTGTGGGAGCCGTTACTGTGGCCTGGGCTGTGTACAAAGTCCTGCCTTTTTGATTTAGAGTGTTATTTGTTTCCAGACCTCTTTCCCCACCATCCCTCATTTCTACTCTCCCTGGGGATGATTCAGTGGAATAAAGCCACGTGAGGATAACATCCATCCAGCAAACACACTTGAGGACAGGCTTTAAAGTGAGCGAGTGTTTCATCACTTCCTGAAGAAGGATGTTTTTACAAAGTGATGCCCTTATGTTTGTTACAAATAACACAGCTTATTAAGAAGTGATTTTAGCTAAAGAGAAACTTGCAAACTGCCCCCACTGGCCAACGAGTAAGCGAGGCTGGCAGCAGGAGGCAAGAACTTTGGATCTGATAGAAGTAACTCTGCCTATTATTCACCTTTGCTTTTTCTCCCCTCCTGCTGTGTTTGCTCCATCTTGTCTGTCTGCTCCATTTCCTTTGTGTTTTTCAGTCTCACTGGTTTTCTTTGTTTGGGGGTTTTTACTGGAACAAAGAAAGCCCAGAATATTACATTGTTTGACCACTGCACCAGTCCTCAGCACCAGCCAGCAGCATCTTCCCAGGGCTTCGGAAAGCAGGGATCTTTGCTCTTAACCTGCCTTCTGAACTGCATCTGCTCTGTGTGTGTGTGTGTGTGTGTGAACATGGTGTGTGCATTACACTGACAATAACACTCAGAGGGAAGATGACCACGTCTGTGGTTGCCAAGATTTGTGTGTATGTTTGATGCTACAGTTGTGGTCATTTGAAATTCCACAAACTGAGTCCATCTTGGAAATGCAACTACTTCCCCTCTTCCCTTTGAGATTAACAGCCCTGGGGATTGCTAAGAGGGCTGAAGAACTTGCTGATCTCACTGGAACTGTCAGGGCAAGCAGATAGCAGCACAGAAATTAGCATGCTAAGTGCAGGCCAGAGTTTACCCTGGGTATCTGCACATTCTTTTGATGTAGAAGGAGTATTGTGTTCTCCTCAGTGCTTGGCTACAGAAGCATTTCTCCTGCAGTAAAACCAGGTTTAATCATTAGCTGCTTTGCCACCTCGGTGGCTTCAGCAGGCTTCAGTGTGTGGACTGCAGATCATGACACTCAGGCTGCCTGGAAAGGAAAAGCTGAAGTATTCCCCTCCAAAGGCTCCATCTCACAGATAATCAGGAGTGAGCATAAGGTGCTGCTTACTGCTGCTCCTGTCACTTTGCTGCAGGCAGGAGGGTCCCCAGGCACTGGTGCTATCCTGCCAGCACAGAGGGATGCTCTCTGCAGGGTTCCCTTGCTGGATGGAGCAGATAATGTAGGAATGGGAAATTGAGCTGCCTCCAGGTTTGGCTTACATGGGGTACATCAGCCATTCCTCAAGCTCTGTAACTGGGGCAGGGAGCACTGGAGGCTGAGTGCCTGGCTGGAGCCCAGGGCAGGCTTCACTGCCTGTGGACCTGCCTTTGGGCAACCCTAAGGATGCTTTCCATAAGATAAAGGTGATGAGGGACCAACAGACCCTCCTTTAGCCCATGAATTAGGTGGCATGCGAAGTGCTGCGTTTTGGCTGTCAGGGAAGGATGTCCATGTGCAAGGACCTGTGTTACCATCCTGAGGAGCACAAACAGGCGGTGTGACACAGTTACAGCAAGCAAGGAGAGACTAAGGAGGTCAGGAGGACACTGGTGTGCGGGGGTAGGATGAATCATCTCAATAACAAGAAGGCTCAGTCATGCTTGTAGGAAGCACTGGGGCCGTGCAGCACTGCCAAGTGCTAGATGAGGCTGGAGCCAGTGCCAGGAACCCATTACATGTGAAGTAACAACAGAGATGGAGCAGCTCCTCCCAGCCCACGTGCTGCCTGCGTGCTGCCATTCCCAGCATCTCAGCAGTGTGCACACCCAGTTCCTTGTGCTCCCACACAGACAGTGTCCTAGAGGGGAATCCACTGGTGTGGGTGCCTCCCATGGAGGACTGTGTTAGCCCAGCCTGACTCCTCAGGGAAACATGGACACATGGATGCTCTTGGGTGTCTTTCTGTGCACGTACAGGCTGCAGTCAAGTCTCCATGAATCTGAAACATGTGGGAGGCATTTTTCCCACTTAGGATTAAACATAGAAGTGTTGGCTATCATTACTAACAAGCAGAGAAGCTCTGAAGGCCAGCTTGAAAAAGATCTAACTCATTGATTTTTAACAGTATCTATCTATATATGGGTCTTGATAGTGCTTATAGTGATTTTATATCACTCCAATGATCTAGTGCACGTACCAGTGCATTAACAACACTGGTGTGCTGCGATGCTGCTCATCAAATAAGCACATATTTTGCTTATTTCCCTATTCCCTTTTTTTACAAGAATCTCTTCCTATAGGGAAATTTCCAAGAGAGAGGCTCTGGTTTCTCTAATCAGCAAACCTACAAAGTCTGTCTATCATGTGGCTAATAAAAAACCGAATAAGCATCCTCCTAGACCTTGGCACTGTTCACCATCCTAAGGTTATACACAGTTTAACTGCAGCTTTTTGCATAAGAGCTTGAAATACAGCAGGAAAAATACCTTTATCCCCACTGTTAACTAAGCAGATAATAGACACTGTTAGTCAATAAGGGCACATGTTTCACAAACAGATTACTTGGGAACTTGATGGACAAGTCCTTCCCGGGCCAGCCACGGCTGCTTGCTGTATTTCATATTTGCTTTGTCATCTTGGCAGTGGTACAAATGGGTTCCATTGGCTCTGCAGCTACTGTGGCATCATTTCATCATCCCGTGCTGATGTGAACTTTTGTTTTCCTAATCGTCAAGACAGAAACATCTGGCTAAATAGAAGCAGGTAAATGCAAAGAAAGCTTTCAAGAAGCAGTGTTTCCAGTCGCTATTTTGCTATGAGAAAAGCCATTTATAATGAACTGTATAGAATAAGTCTGAGATTTAGGTTAAGGTTTTCTGAACACTCATGCCTGCAGTGGGGCTCCTCCTTGCTTCATCACTACATAAACGACCTGCTTTCTAAAAGCAGCCACCACTCCTCTTTGCTTCCAAGACTGATTAAATCAAAACACCTCCTCTACGCCCGTTAATTTTAGCTCGGAGACACGGCTTTGAACAGCACATTGCTGCTGTATTAGTATAAGCACTGGTATTAACAAGATGGGCCACTGGATTCTGCTCTTCCTTCTGACATTGTTCAGTTCGTGGTATTAAAGAACTCACTTAACTCATGCTTTAATGTAGGAGTAAGGAAAAATCTTTATCTTATAATGGGCAGAACTAACACTTGGGGGCAGAAGTCGCCTCATTAACTTTTGACCTAATCCCTGAGCTATTCACACCAGGTTTTCTTTACAGTCAGTGACAGAAACAGGCACTGTAAGGATGGGGTTCATCTAATCAAGTCCATACCACTGCAGGAGGAGATAAACCACGCTGCAGGCTCCACTGACAAAGCTGATTAGATCTCTGTTGGCTCTAAAAGGGAGGCTCGTGATCTGAAGACGTTTGTGTGTTAGCTACCAATTCCCAGGCATGAATCCCTCCCTTACTGTGGAGCTGAGGCTGTGGTTTCACGATCAGCATCAGCAGCTGTGTGCTGCTGCCAGTTCTCTGTCACACACTTTTCCCTGCCCTAATCACACGGCTCCATGCGTCAGCTCCAGCAGTCCTGCAGCCTTGGTAAATAGGAATAAGTTGTTGAACTGGCTGAAAACTAATGCTGAAGATGAAGAGTTTGGTTTTGGTTGCACTGCCAGGCAGAGCTGATGCCCCTCATAGCATCCTATGTCCTAACTCCTAGCTCTAAGGTCTGCCTGGGGACAGGAGTGTCATTTCTGAGGAGGAAAAGTGAACTGCCCTTTTTCGGGACTGGGTTTTACTTGGACTAGCTTAAGTTGACCACAAAACAGCCCCTGTGGAAGGCAGTGCTGAAAATGGACAGATTTAGTTGCAGAGCGTAAAGTTAACATGTTTATGGTTACTGTCTTGGAGTGTGATTTGACAAACATCAAATACAACTGATCCTTGCAGAGAAAAGAGGTGATGAGACATAGAACAGACTTTCATGTCTCCACCCCTTTGTGGAGGCCACGACTGAAGCCCAGGGAAAGGAGCAGTGTCAGCAGGTCTCAGAGCTGGGATCACAGCGTGTTCCAAATCACAGTATCAGCCCTGGAGAGAAGCAATGTTCCATGATTGGGACTGAAGAAAATGTTCCTTCTGCTCTGGGCAGAGATGCTTTTCAAACAGGTCTCAGAGTCTGCAGAAGAGGTTAGAGTGGGTGCAGACTTGCTTTCAGTAGATGGCATGACTTACATGGCATCATTTGCTAGAACGGCTTCTTTCCAGATATCTACAGCTTAGAAAGGGCAGTTTGTCACAGAACCATAGAATGGTTTGGAAAGGACCTTAACATCATCCAGCTCCAACTCCCCTCACACCAGACCATGCCACCCAAACCCCATCCAGCCTGGTCTTGAACACTGCCAGGGATGGGGCAGCCACAGCTTCTCTGGGCACCCTGTGCCAGTGCCTCAGCACCCTCACAGGGAAGAGCTTCTGCCTTAGATCTAACCTGAACTTGCCCTGTTTCAGTCTGAACCCATCACCCCTTGTCCTATGGCTGCAGTCCCTGATGCAGAGTCCCTCTCCAGCATCCTTGTAGCCCCCTTCAGACACTGGAAGCTGCTCTGAGGTCTCCATGCAGCTTCTCTTCTCCAGGCTGAACAGCCCCAATGTTCTCAGCCTGTCTCCATAGGGGAGGTGCTGCAACCCCTGATCATCCTGGTGGCCTCCTCTGGACTTGCTCCAACAGCTCCTTGGCCTTCTTATGTTGGGAACACCAGAACATGAGCTTGGCTAATGGCTGATGAACAGCTATTAACAGCTTAACAGCACCTACAGACCTACATGGGATCTAACGAAAGCACTTCTGGCAGCAAAATAAATACTGATATCAATTTGTGTAATAAAGGGAAATTCATCCATCTCAAGCTGACACAGTTAATAGCAAATACATAAATGGTAGATTGATGAGCATGCCCTTTGCAGCTCACTGCTCTTGAAGCTTATTGTCCTTGAAGCTCATCAGCAAGAGCTCAGCCCCTTGAAGGACATTACATAAAGGGACTTTGTGTGATCAAGAGAGGCAGAAACACCCTCTGCCTGATGTGTGTTGTGGTGGTGAGAGGAGGAGGGATGTGTGGTAGAGGAGCTAGCTGGAAACACCAGGAGTACCTGGGTTGCCTGCTGAGGAGGAGCCTGAGGCTGCCCTCCAGCTCAGACCTGTTGGTGCTAGGTCAGTGGGAGGCTGGTGCCCTGGTAGTGCTGTGCTCTGATGTACACAGCCAGTGATGGCTTCATTCCAGTCTCCCTGGGGATCTTCCTCTTCTGAGCCGATACTGCTCTCACACCAAGTTCTTACATGGCCTCATTCAGTCCCCAGGACACACAGAGGTGTATGAGCGTGGCCCCGTTTCTCAAGGCCAGATGTGCCACCACAGGACATTTCTTGTGTGGCAGCATTACACAGAGGTGCTCTGCAGCCTCACACAACACAAAGCTGCACTTGTTGAACGAGTTTCAAACTGACTTTCCAGATGCCAGAACATGCTTGTTTATCCTTTCCCTACATCATCTGCTGTACTTGTATGGACCTGACATACCCCAAAGGACCTGAGCGACCTCTTCCAGCAAGAGACCTTTAGAAAAACTACACCAATGAAATCCAGCACCCTACAGTGACGATGGAAATCCCTGCCCACAAACATCCAACTTGGATGCCAGAAAGTATTGTACATTCTCTGACAGGGCCTCATGCTGCAGGTAGGTGGAGCAGGCACCGCAGTGAGTAGCCTATCTCTCTCTCAGCGGCTGTCCTCAGCAAATACCCATTGATTCATTGATACTTGTCACCACAGGTCCAAGAGAACTGGCTTAGATCAGAGCAATCTTCTGCTCTTTCTTAAGATAATAGAAGGTAGAGCTGAACAATATGATTTATTAAAAATGCTGTAGGAAGGACGGTTTCAGCAAGAACTAAAAATGCCACCAACCAATCAGCTGCAGAGGGACTTGTTCATCCATGAATCCCCTATTCACAGAATTTCCCACTCCTGCTGAATCATTGTTACTATCTTTCCAGCAGAGAGGAGCTGCACTGTGAGCAAAAGTGAATAACACCACCTTTTTGTCTGACTTCTTTCCTTTAATGATTAATATGGTGGTGACTTTTCTAGTAGGATCCACTTGAGCTGAATCAAGTATCAGCTTTAATATGTTATTAGCATTAACTTCACAGCTGATTAGAGCAACTATTTCGCAGACAAAGTGTGACCAAAGCAGCCAGGAAACGCTCTGAAGTCCACTGAAAACAAAACCCCAACCAACAAAGCACGTTCATCACAAACAGTGATAGATTGTCTGTGCAGTTAATTGTGCCAGAAGTTAGGAGGCTGGTACAGGCTGCCAAATGCCATTGGATCAAGTGGCTTGACAGCAAGAAAGCAAAATAACTAACCTAGAAAGGTCAGAACTGGACATAAGAAAGGCCTCTTCTTGAAGCAGTTGTTTATTAGGGAGGAAAGGTTTTGGAAGGGAAAGAAAGTGGGGTTTTCTAACTTGCTTTGCAAAGTTCTGAAGCACAGTGGAGGATACACTGACCCCTCCCTTTGCCTGGAGTCCTAACAGTGACTCCAAAGAGCTGAGATTTCACAGCCACGGTAAGCAGGCAGAAGAAACCCCTTTACAGAGCAAGGCATTCTTCATTTCCTATCTTAGTGCCAATTACAATGCAGTTTTTCTTCACAGGTCACAAACAGAAGCATGTAAGCACATGCTTAACTTGCCTCTGTTCAAAGAAGGCCTTTTAATGAATTGCAAACAAATGTTTAAATCCTTTCCTTGATAAAGCTGCTTTCCTGAATAGCAATGTAACAGTGAATTTGACATAGAGCTCTGTGAACAGTAATACTCACTTTCCATTTGTAGCGTTTTTCATTACAAGGAACAACCTTGCTGATGGAGGTAACTGGACAGGGAATGCTTCTGCTGGCTTTCGTGTTGCTGACTGGGTTCCATTTGAAGAAGCCTTGTAAGGACAGCTACCAGAGAGAGACACTGCCTGCAAGAGAAGCAGCCTCAGATGAACACTGACAGCCTTGAAGTGGAGCAGACAGATGGAGTCATGTTTGCCAGAGTCCCACAAGCCTTTATTAAAAGCAGACAGTTCTGATGACTGCACAGAAAGGGAACAAGTTAGGTGTTAAAGGAGGCAGAGTGCTCTGTAAGATGTGATTGCATTAGTGGTTTATAGGCAGGGCTTCGCCTTTCCAGGTGGATGGCACAGTGCTGAAGAGCCCCTCGTGGCACAGACCTCTCCCAGTGCAACCTTGCCCAGGAACTCGGAGGAAAAAGCAGTGACTTTATTTATGCAGCAAACATGCTGAGTAATAGCGAATCTCCAACCAAAGTCCTTCCCACAGCTGCCTCCAGAGCGCTCAGCAGCACCCAGTGCAGAACACCCTGTGGAACCAGCCCAGCTTCCTGTGCAGCTTTGCACTCTCTTGTCACCCAGTGCAGGGCTGGCATGAGGCTGGATGCCAGAGTCAGTCACTCCTCCCCTCAGCACACGGTTTACGGTACGCAGGCAGATTTGGAGACGGGTCCTTCCACATGTGCAGTCCGGAAGCTGAGCTGAGAAAGAATTGGGTGAGTCAAGAACAATGCCTGGAAGCCTCAAAAATACCCAACGACAAAAAAACTGGAGTCCTCCCTCCTCCGAAGACACAGCATTCTCCTCAAAAGCATAGGCAGGAACACAGTGTTCTCCTGGAACACACCATTTATGGCTTCATTGGGTACCTTTATCAGTCACCTTCCCATTAATCTGAACATTTATAATGTTGCCAGATGGACAGCCTTACATTTAGGAACCATCCGTGTTCCTCCTGGATGCTGATGTGTGGGAATACAATAGAAAAGCCTGGGAACAGCAGTGCAGAGCAAACTGGTTCATGAGAAAGAGTCCAGGGAAGAGGTAGCGACGTGAACTCCTGCATGGTCCATGCCTGACCTGGCTGGAAGTGAGACCACGCTGCCACAGGGGTCATTCCTCAAAGCCCCTGTGTCTGCAGCCAGTGAAGGCAACAGTGGCTGCTGGGTCCCATAGGTGAAAACTATAAACCCAGTCCCATTCACTGGGGAGCAGTGGACGGTCTGAGGAACCATTGTTACTTCTTGCCAGGGAAGAAACCATGCCCTCCCTCCCTCCTGAGCTATATGGCCCGTATCTTCTGGCTTTTGGCCCCAGAAGGAATTCAGTATTCAGTCTGGTATAGTAGGAAGACCTATCTCACAAGGGCAGGATCAAGAACATGCCCCTTAAGGAGAAGAGAGCAGCCGACTGACCAGTGGTGTGGTATCCTTTAGCAAAGTAAGAGGTCTTGTGGTGATGAAACGTTATCCCTAAGGGTGGTACTGATACTGATATCCTGTTTATTCCACTTACAAGCGCTCAGTCTTACAAGAAGTTATCTTACTACAAGCAAACTACGACAACATCATGGGGGCAACCAAGTAACGCTCAGCTTCAGTAATTCCTGAAGTCCAGCCAATGAGAGGCATCACGCTCCTCATCCTCCCTTCCTTCCAAGCTAAATTCCATGGGATTAACACTAGTCCCTGTAAATTTATAACCTGCCCCATCTTCAGGAATGAAAAAAGCTTTGGGCTGTACCAGTTTCTTTGACCCATATATGTTAAAATTGCTTAATTCTTCCTTATAAACTAATGGCCCTGTGTGGGGGCGAGAAGGAGAGGAGATGGGCATGTTCTGTTTCAGTGTGATTGCTGGTCAGCTTCCTGGCTATTTACAACATCTTATTAAATGGTGTTACAGCACACGGGAAGGCAAGGAGATGAGGAGAACGTTACAGCAATCTAATTACTGACTCTTACAATGGTCATTAAAGTGTCCCACAT